ACTACTACTACTACTACTACTACTACTACTACTACTACTACTACTACTACTACTACTACTACTACTACTACTACTACTACTACTACTACTACTACTACTACTACTACTACTACTACTACTACTACTACTACTACTACTACTACTACTACTACTACTACTACTACTACTACTACTACTACTACTACTACTACTACTACTACTACTACTACTACTACTACTACTACTACTACTACTACTACTACTACTACTACTACTACTACTACTACTACTACTACTACTACTACAGGTCGTCCCCCGTTAATACGAGTCCGGTTAGTACATAAACCCCGTTAGTACATAAGAAATCTCAAGTCCCGGACGAAACGTGGTCACTTCCATACAAATTTTGTCGGTTAGTACATAATTCGTTAGTACATAAACCCCGTTAGTACATAACATTTCTCCGTACCCGCAAGTACATAACATTTCTCCGTACCCGCATGCCACCTACCTGAATAGTACATAATTTGTTGGTCTTTTGGCCTTCCAGTGGAGGCACGTCGTGTTCCAGTTTATACTTGTGGACACAATTAGCTCAGAAATCATAGCGCACATCACAAACCGACAAAGCTCTGTTTTTTTTCGAGTGACTGTACAGGCGCGGCTGCGCTGGGCATGTAATGTATCACGTAGAATCTTCGCTGACTGTGACCGTTATAACATAATTTTTATGTTATATCGAGGGAATCAAGAATATCTCGCTCCCTAGTCATGGCAGCAGGAAACACTCAGAAAAGTTGAGAAAAGTGAAAAATTCTGGTATACAAGCAAGTTATGTACACTTTCGTTTAGTACATAAACCCCGTTAATACATAACATTTGTCAAGTCCCAGAGATTATGTATTAACGAGGGACGACCTGTACTTGGAAGCGTGTTTTTATTGACCACATAAAATGATGATGCAAAGAAAGAAAAGAACACCGGAAACATAATGCTGGATTTGAAAGAAGAAGAGAAAAAGGAAGATTAAAAGAAACCTGACCAAGAGAACTCAAGCATTGCACCCAGGAGGCAAAAATGAACTCAATCCCTAGCATAGGCTCAATGAGGTCGTGTAATTGCACAAATTTCAACGGATCCAAGTAAAACTCCAACCAACAAGTGGAACGAATTCAAATATTACAAAGCAACAGCGAAAAAGGCATCTTGCTGTCTCTACTACTACTACTACTACTACTACTACTACTACTACTACTACTACTACTACTACTACTACTACTACTACTACTACTACTACTACTACTACTACTACTACTACTACTACTACTACTACTACTACTACTACTACTACTACTACTACTACTACTACTACTACTACTACTACTACTACTACTACTACTACTACTACTACTACTACTACTACTACTACTACTACTACTACTACCACTACCACTACCACTACCACTACCACTACCACTACCACTACCACTATCACTACCACTACCACTACCACTACCACTACCACTACCACTACCACTACCACTACCACTACCACTACCACTACCACTACCACTACCACTACCACTACTACTACTACTCGCACATTTGCACTCGCACATGCACATTTGCACACATTCACACACATTGGTGCGTCCATGGAGCTATGAAGCCGAGACCTCTGGTCGGCGAAGCTTAATGGGCCCCACCACCACACTCCATCATTCACCCCAGTCTCTGGAGATATGTGGATTTTGTAGAAAAAAAAAGAAAAAAAACATGCACATTTGCACACATGCACTCGCACATTTGCACACACACATTCGCACATTTGCACACGCACTCGCACAAACACACATGCGCATTTGCACACACACACGCAATTTGGACACACACACATCCACTCACGCACATTTGCACAGACACGCACATACACACACACGCACACACACACACGCTTTTCGAAGCAACATACCCAATCCATTCACATGTAACAACTGTAGAGCTACTGGGTACTAGAAAGATGTATAATGCCAAGGCACTTCTCCGCTGAACTTGACATTCTGCATGCAAATCCTATTATTTCAGTTTCCCAGTGTCAACATGTGTGTAATTATGTTTCAACAGGCACTGCGCTGGGTAGTTTGCTGATCGCTCTTACCGATGTTCATAACCAAACCTCATACGACCTGGTGATTACAATGATCGCTGCTAACAACACTCCTGAAGTTGTCACTCTGCACAACCAGATGCTGTCATCCACTTATCATCCTAGCGCTATTCCAGCAGGCCTTGCTACCACACAGGTCGTAGTTGCTGTGTTTGCAGTGGGCTCTACAACACCTCTCAATGTCTACATAAAGGGTGAGTCGGCAGTGAACGTGTACCTGTGTGTCCGTGCAAGGGAGTTGTTGGTTAACTTTCAAAAGCATGCACTTCAGCCCTCAAGTCTCAGCTTCGTGGAACCTTGCTGTAGTGATGCGTGCTCCTTCAAACATCAACTTCTTCCAGTGAAAATGCGACGAAATGCTGACTGCTGATTGGTCCATTTAGCATTTTTGAGGCCGTTCAGCACCCTCGCTTTTCTACGCACTAATGTGAATCCTGAGTGTGCATGCTAAGTACAGACTCGGGAGTGACAAATGATGCAAGCAGTCTTTCATGCAACGACTTGGAAAAATCAAGGAGATCACGGAGACATAATGTGTATGTGCATGTGTATACGAACCTGTCTGTCCTCTGTAGATGAATCTGAGGTGACCCAGAACAACTTGCTCGCAATGATGAAGGACTCGCGCAATTACATGATGCAGGGTACGGTGGCAAGCAGTGCTGCTTCTCCAACTCGCCCTCTTACTGCTCAAACCACCTGGAAGGTTGCTGGCACACCTACCCCTACTGCTCATTATCGCATCTTCAATGCTGATTGCTATGGTTCAAGTCCTCCTGATACTTGTAATCGGCCAACATATACAGCCATCTCCATGAATGCCAGCTCCCCTACTTCTCTACTGTATGGTGTTTACGAGGTCGTCTTCCAGGTCACCACAGGCTCTGGACCGACGGCGAAAACTAAATACATTACACCACCTCTCCGCCTCACTGTCAACACTGACATCATACTGGGACAGACACGTAAGTTTGTTATCTTAAAACCCATTTTTGGGTCTAATTCAATGTAAATGAGGGATGGTTATGCAAACACATGATTGTGCATGCAACCAATCGTGACCCTAGAACGATTTCGCGCTAAAGAGGTTAAAGACCTTTACCGGTCTAACTGAATGTATATGCGGATGGTTACACAAACACATGTGCATTCTATCAGCTGTAACTCAAGAACTATTTGATGTAGGTATGGGTAAACCGTATATTTTCAAAACCTGTATGACTGACTGGGTCCAGCAAGCACCAGAATGACTAGGTTCATATGATAGATATTGTCCTGACTTTTTCTTGTCAAACTTTCAGCTCATCAACTTTGTCTTCCTATACCCCATGTCTCATACCTGGTCTTCCTCGCATCCTCGCATTTGTCTCTGTGTTTTCTTTTGCAGCTCTATGCCCACTCAACATTCCTGCTTGCACCTGCTCTGCTGGTTTCAGCTGGAATTCTACACGCTGTAAGAGCATTCTATTATGTGTGTGTGTGTGTGTGTGTGTGTGTGTATGTGTATGTGTATGTGTGTGTGTGTGTGTATGCGTATGGGTATGTGTGTGTGTGTGTATATGGTGTACTAGCTGTGCTAGTACTTGTTAGCAACAATCCGAACTAGCGCACACACTGCACTGCATTGCTTTGTACTGCATTCAAGACTGACGTCATGCGCTTTGTTTTGCTGCATCATCACAAATGGCACCAGCCCATTTTGCGGAAAAGAAAAACAAATCTTGCTTGCCCTGTTGTGCTCTTCCAGACAACGGATCGTGCTTCAGCAGTGTTTCTTTTCCTTTCGTAGCTTTGCTGCCAGCCCGAGTGTCCCCTCGACACTGTATTTTTTCAGTATGTCTGACTTAACTATCGACACTGTCAAGGCAATGCCTTGCCAAGCCCTCCGCGGCGAGCCTTCTCAGCGCGGCTTGAATCCGAAAGGAAACTTAGTAAAAGTATTTTACAGGACCGTTTGCTGGCACAACTAGCCCTTGGTTGTGAGGTCTGCTCCGGCCAGGAGAACCAGCAACATGACAGTGCGCACACGGCTCGCAAGCCGAGAAGCCCGACGTGCACCAATGCCTCCTCCGCCAGTTCAGGTGACGCAGGCTCAACGGATCTCTGCGCTCCCGTACGGGACGAGGTGTAGTCGGCTTTGTCGGCCGCCATTTTATTATTATCGGAGAGCATTGTGCCGCTCCTCACCCAAGGCCAAGGCCAAGGCAATGCGGCTGCTGCCGCCACTACGCCAGGCCAAGCTCCTGTAACCCACCCGATCAGCCACCTGCACCAGCTGTGCCCAAGGCTGTGCAAGAACGTATCTTGCGAAGGGAGTTCGTAGATTTTTCAAGTTTGTTGCCTGAAATTCTTGCACACTTCCGGCCCAACATTCCGGCTTGTGCACAGCCCGAATAACGATAGCCAGCTAAAAATCGTTGAGTCGGGTGACGCGAAGCAAGTGCGTCGCAAGGTTCAAGATAATTATACATGTAGCTACCCGGCTCGAGGCATGGACCACATACATGATCTGTTATCACGGCTGCTGCCCTACACCGCACTGCTGAACTGCTGAGCTGATTGCGTACCAGCAGTTGATCCTGACTGCAAACCGCCAGTTCTTCCCAAACGCGGGGCTAGAGTACGACTGCCAGCTGCGGATACTCGTGGCCCAGTAACCAGGCACGAAGAGGTTGGACACCATCGACGTTAACCTATGGCAGATAGCTGTCACAGGCCATGCACACCCAAAATGCGCTCAATGTAAGACGGTCCATCCAGGGGCGGTTTGTGTCCTTTTCGTCCCCAAGCCAGCAGCATTTACCTCCAGTGGTCGTAACCATACCAGCGACGGCCAAGAAATCTGCCGCAACTTCAATGGAGGTCGCTGTTTTTCGTCGTCGTGCCGCTTCTCCCACACCTGCAGCCAGTGTGGCAAGGACCACCCATGCATCATGTGCAACCAGCAGCAGCGCGGAGCCAATCGGCCACCCGCCGCTCCTAGCAAAATGGCTACTGAATCGCTTGACTGGGTACGTAGCTTCTTTCCTATACACTCTGCAGACACCACACTGCTAGCTGACCACTTTGCCCGCCTGTTACGTAACCACTCAGATCAATCATGTGCTGCGTATGTTCTCCATGGCCTGCGCGGTGGCTTTACTCTTGGATCTGCCGGCCAACACGACATTTCGGTTTTCTCTAATAATCTACCCTTGACTTTCACTCACTCGGCATTTATATCCGAGCAATTAGCTGCTTCCTGCACCCGCAGCGAGACCACAGGCCCATTTCCGTCACCTCCATTTCAGTTCTTTTGCGCTCTGGTATTGGTGCCATCCCCAAAAAGAACGGCAAGCTGCGAATGATACACCATCTGTCTAGTCCGGAAGGCACCGGCGCGAACGACAGCATTCCTGCCGAGCCGCTCTCTCTGCACTACGCGAGCATTGGCAACACGATCAACATCATCATGTCATGCCCACAGCCTGTGTATTTGTCCAAGCTCAATGTACGCAGTGCATTTCAGCAGATCCCAGTCCGCCGTCAGGACTTCGCTGGGAAGGCTCCTACTACTACGAGCGCTTTCTGCCTTTCGGCCCCTGCTCCCGCCCAGCCGTCTTTGACTCAGTAGCCAAAGCAGTCAACTGGATCATGCAGCACGAGTTTGCTATAGATCACCCGCTTCATTACCTCGATGACTTTCTTGATATCTCCACTGGTTTGGCTGCAGCCAACCAGCAACTCACCATCCCCCTCCGGGCATTCACGTATCTCGGCACTCCTCTTTGCTTCATCCCAGCTCGAAGGGCCATCACCATCATTGACCTTCCTTGGTATTGTCCTAGACTGTGAGCGCCACGAAGCTTCGGCTACCAGAGGACAAGCTGTCCGAGATCCGTGCGCCACTCATGGCTACTATCAGCAAGCGCAGCATCGGCCAGCGTCAACTCGAGTCCCTCATGGGGAAGCTCACTTTTGCTGCCCGAGTCATCGTTCCTGGACATACATTCATGCGTGATTTATGATCAGCGTGCCCTGAACTGTATCTGTGTATGCGAGTGCGGTGCATAAAGCCCACCTTGAGAATGGGTTTGCCGGCCCCTTAGTAGATGCGTGGCTTCTGAAGAGGGTGTTGAAGGGCATCCAGCGATGCCATAGTACGGCTGTACTCACCCCTCGCCTTCCTATAACTATGCCAATCCTACGACACCTGACGGAAGCACGCCGGAAAAGTAGTATCCTGAATGGCCATGACAAGCTGCTCTACCAAGCCGCCATGCTGCTTCTTTGGATTTTCTTCGGTGTGCTGAATTCACTAATGGCATCACACGGGGCTGTGCTAGCTCCACTGGTGACGGACGCCTGCAACTCTTCCTGCTTTCGTCCAAGACGGACCCATTCGGTGAAGGCGTTACTAGTGACAGTGGCCCGTCTCTACCGCCGTACTGCCCGGTCCGTGCCATTGTTAGCTACCCATTTGTCACTCGTCGCGAGGGACCGGAGCAACTCTTGTTCGTACTTCCGAACAGACAGCAGCTGACCAGGCAGTCATTCACAGTAACAGTATGGTCTCTTGTCGCTGCGGTCGGTGTACCATCCCAGTCGAACAACTCCGGGCATTCGGTCCACATTGGTGCAGCCACCACCGCTGCTATGGCTAGTGCTCCCGACTCCTTCTTCCGAGTGGCAGGTCAGTGGAAAGAGCGATGCGTGTCTATGCTACATCCGGACTACAACAAGCGCTAAGCGCCAGCTATCGTCCCGACTTGCTGCCGTGCCATGGATGGCATGATCCCCAACTCGGGTGAGTAATGAGCTACTGAACTCTAGCTGCGCAATGCTTGCCTGTGCTGACATTAATTGACCCTTGCTGTGCGTCAATAGTGCTTAGCTAACGGAGTGCTGGTTTCATGGGTCCACTCTAACAACTGGTGTTATCTAGCTATTTGCTGCGGCTCTGCCTTGCGCTATATTACATCCATTTAGCATTGCAGCTCTACGTTGAGCTAACAGCAGCTCTACTTTGAGGTAACAGCAGCTCTACTTTGAGCTAACAGCAGCTCTAATTTGAGCTAACCGCAGCTCTACTTTGAGCTAACAGAAGCTCTACTTTGAGCTAACAGCAGCTCTACTTTGAGCTAACCGCAGCTCTACTTTGAGCTAATCGCAGCTCTACTTTGAGCTAACAGCAGCTCTACTTTGAGCTAACCGCAGCTCTACTTTGAGCTAACCGCAGCTCTACTTTGAGCTAACAGCAGCTCTACTTTGAGCTAACAGCAGCTCTGCTCTGAGCTTGAGCTAACCGCAGCTCTACTTTGAGATAACAGCAGCTCTACTTTGAGCTAACAGCAGCTCTGCTCTGAGCCAACAG